TTCCCTTTTTCGTCTACCATATCCGCGGTAAAAACGGTAAAAATCGATAATTTTCGTTTTTTACCGTTTTTACCGGGGGGTGCCCCTTTTTCGTCTACTAACCATATCCGCGGTAAAAACGGTAAAAATCAATAACTTTATTTTTTTACCGTTTTTACCGGGGGGGCGCCCCTTTTTCGTCTACCATATCCGAGGTAAAAACGGTAAAAATCGATAATTTTCTGGGTTTACCGTTTTTACCGGGGGGCGCTCCTTTTTCTTCTACCATATCCGCGGTAAAAACGTTAAATATCAGAAAAAAAAAAACTTTTTGTTTAACATTTTTACCGGGGGGGCGCTCCTTTGTCTTTTACCATATCCGCGGTAAAAACAGCAAACATCGATTCTTTTTTACCGTTTTTACCGGGCGCTTCCTTTTTCAATACCATATCCGCGATCAAAACGGTAAAATTAATTGTTGTTTTTTTTGTACCGGTTTGATCGAGGGGGGGCAAACGGGTCTATATATGTTCTTTTTTTTAGTTTTAACGGAGGGTCAGCGCTGTTTCTTCTGCCATATCCGCGGTAGGTAAAAATCGAAAGTTTTCGATCCAAGTGATGTAGGCTTTCATTGCCCTGCAAAAGTTAAAAGTCATGAAATTTTGATCAATCACCAAACTCCTCTTGTCGAAAAGGGCACATGCTCCTATATGATAGGAGGAGTGAACCCCACCTGGTTATAGGAAGATACCCGGGCTGTAACATTAAACCTTTTTGTTGACAGAGGTCTTCTAGCTTGCGACCTGGTCCGGAGGCATTCTCGCGGTAAAAAACGGTCCAAAGTGAAAATTTTACTTTTGTTGTTTACCTTTTTCAATGAAGAGTCGCTTGCTCTTTTTGCTTCTACCATATCGTTAAAAATCAAAGTTGTGGTATTATCCGTTTTTGTAGGTGGACTTGTCCATTTCCTTTCTACCATCTCCGTGGCAAAAACGGTAAAAATCTTTGTGTTTAATCTTTTTTACTGGGGGGCGCTCCATGTTTAAATGTCATATCCGCGGTAAAAACTGTAAAAATCGAACATGTTCATTTTTTACCGTTTTTACCGGGGGCGCCCCTTTTTCTCTACGATATCCGCGGTAAAAACGGAAAAAATCGAAAACCTTCTTTTTTTACCGCTTTTACGAGGGGGGGGCGCTCCTTTTTCTTCTACCATATCCGCGGTAAAAACGGTAAAAGTCAAAACTTTTCTTTTTTTACCGTTTTTACCGGGGGGGCGCTCCTTTTTCTTCTACCATATCCGCGGTAAAAACGGTAAAAATCGAAAATTTTTGTTTTTTTTTTTTACCTTTTTTCCTGCGGGGTCGCAAAAGGATGCCCCTTAGCAAAACAACGCTCGCGAACCAGCTTAGTGAACGGCCCCCAAGGCCTGGGCTGACTTCAAGGCCAGTGGTGGAGTGGAGAAGCAGAGCGTGGCCCCTCGACTGGGCAACATGTGGCGGTTTGGACACATCAAAGTAGGCATAAGACATAAGAGCCTTTTTTATCCTTTTTATGAGTGATGACCTCCAACCTAAGAGCGATGGCCTCCAACCTACTAGCAATGACCTCCAACCTCTACTAGCGACTAATAGCCATGGCAACCCACTGTTGATGGCCTCCAACCTATATAATAGGCTTTTTGCCCGACTTTGCTTTGTGTTTTGACCTAAGATATCTAAGATCTAGAAAGACCTCATGAGCGCCTAGCTTTGCTCACAGCTTTGGGTCCAGGAAATCACGAATCATGGATGAACGCATCGATGCAATCCAACCGAAAGCGTTAAAGAATCCAAGTGAAATAGCTGGAAGGCCAGGGCTTTATTGCACCACAATCAATAGGGTAGACCATTCACTTTTGTTTCTTGTTGTGAGGCCACACTATTTTTTGCTGGAACATGTCTATATATCAAGTACAACACCAGCAATGCGGCAATGCAGTAGTTGAGAAGTCAGTTGACGTGACTGTGCAGGAGAAGGCAGAGAGCACATCGCTGCCTCCCTGGGCCTTCCAAACAGATCCCACTGGAAGCTCTACAAGTCCCTCACCATGTGACAGGGTTGGGGGGAGGGCATGACAAGGCTGATAGTTCTTTAATACGAAACTAGTCCACATAGTGGGTGGACATCTTTCGAGAGATTGCAGAGCTGTGCAGAGCTCATCGATAGATGGAAGGGCTCATCATTTAAAAGCTCTGAGACTGCTGCCATGATGGCCATGACTTGGAAGCTGTTAGCTTTGATGTAGGAACATGTAGGAACTCCGGAAGTGCTTTCCCAAGTCCTAGGAGCAAGAACCTACAAACGGAGCAAGGGCATCGCTGCTAGTAACAAAGGGCATCGCTACGTTCGTAGCTATTTGCTACTAGTAGTAAGGCCAGGAGCCTCCAGTAGCGTCCTTGCTCCTAGTAGCGATGCCCTTTGCTCCTAGTAGCTATTTGCTACTAGTAGAAAAAGTAGCGATGCCCTTTGTTCCTACTAGCGATGCTAATCTGACCAATCAGTTAAGGTGCTGCAGTGCTGGTCAGTGTGGATATCAAGGCGTGGGTGGTGGAAAGGAAATCAATTCACAGCAAGAACAGTGTCATGTCTGAAGAACTCTTAAACTCCTTGGAATCATCAGTCTCCAAGTCAAGCTCTTTTTTAAAAAAATAATGAAAGTCTTTCTAGTTCTTGTGAGTTGCAGACATGTTTCTTTTGGTATTTTGATGCATTTTCTGTCATTTTCGGACGAACACAGCATGTCTATGTGCTGAGATATCCCTTCCCAAGCGGGTTTTTTTGCACTGCCAAGTGCCGCAGTGAAGTCTGTTCTTGAAAGAATCACGTCTTTCAACAAACAAGAAGCACTAAAAGAAGGAACGAATAGGCTCATAGAAGACAGAGGTTAAAAACATTCAGGGAGATGGACTCTTTGAAACCTCTTTATGTGGATCCACTGGCCATCTCATTCCCCGGCATCTCAGGAGGATCAGATGGAGAGCTTCCTGAAAGTCATGGAAGCTGATGCCACAAATTCCAGAAATAAGGACTGAGGCCTGACTCACAAAAAGCCGCTGTACTGGTGCAAGAAGAGCTGAAGGATCTCAGGCTGAAGTCCGGTTGTGTCTCTGAGACTTTGAACCCAAACCAGACCAGTCTCAACTCCCTCGAGCTAAGAAAGCTTTGGGGTTCACCATTCGGGCAAGGAGATTGAGCCTGGCTGCTTGCGCTTTGACCTCCTGAAGGACCGGGAGAAGAAGAACAGATTCTACTTCTATGAGGTCTACGCGAGACTCAGCTCTCCAGATCAGTGACGATCCTGATCCCCAGAAAATCATTTTTGGACCAATTTTTGGATGGTTCTCTGGACAGCCGGACATTACAGGGTTTTGGTTTTGATGGAGATTTGTAATGCCACCGCAAGAAGCAAGACTTCATTCTGGTAATGAGCTGCGTGCTATGAGATGGTCAAGAATGAATTCCTAAATGTAGACCATGGATGCAGACAGCAACAACCTGCTTGCATGCAGTTCTGGTGCAAGCAATCTCTCGGCCAGCCGTCGGGGATTTTCTTACCTCACTTCTAGAACACGTGTTGCACGACAGAAGCCCAAACAAAAAGACCTACTCTCGAGCAGCTTTTATCCCAGAGTGCTTGGTAGAGCAAAATGCCTGGAAAGACTCTGGAAACCGAAAGGAACCAATCATCTCTCGATCGAACACACGGCGCCTTCGCTTGTACCGTATGATGCAAGCATCAACTTCCGATCTGAGGAACGATGATGCAATTGCTCAGCATAAGACCACAGCGCACTACAAGGGCTGGGCTGATTTCAAAGCGGCGGGTGGAGTCGAGAAGCAGGAGGTGATGAAGCTGGAGACAGCGGCTTGGAAGAAGCCCCTGTTCCACAGTCACATCACACAATCTGTTAAGATGTTCTCTTCTCAGGGCAGATGATGTAGGAGCAAGGACGCTGCTAGGGGCTCCTGGCCTTACTACAAGAAGCTACTAGGGGCGCCTGGCATCGCTACGAACGGAGCGATCGGACGCTACTAGGGCAGATGTGGTTTCAATCTTAGATATGATTGCACCAAGTTCGGACCGGATTTTGATTCAGAGTCCATTGGGAGCCCAGCAAGCTGTGTAGTATTGGACTGCTGAAATCGGCTTTAAAGGCGTGCCCATAGACCCATACACGAAGAGATTAGGTGTAGAAAGTTGTTTTTCGAACAATTGGATCCATTTCCGATCCGAGAGAATAGCTTACATGAATATATTCCTTGGAGCTAAGGATGGTCATACCAAGGATTGCGATAAGGTTTGCTTAGTTGTTCCGACGAGGTTCATGAGGTTTCTTCCTGGCGCAACACCCTTTGGGTTTGCATGATTTGTTTCTTCTTTTTCTTGGCTTCTGACTAACCTGAGGCATCCATTCCTGGATCTTGGGCGTTGCAGCCTTGATGGAACGCACATCGCCGCCCAGAGTTGGGAAACTTGGGTCACGCTCCAATCCCCACCGAATTGTCAGATAAGAATCGCATGCTTCATCCATATTTCATCATGTCATATTTCCATATTTTTTGACAGGCAGAGATTCTCAACGCTGCCAGCGGTGCTGCTGGTTTGTTCACATCTAACGTTGGATCTGAAGGACGAGGAAAAAAGACGCTGAGATTGGATCTGAAGTTGACGCCTCGAGAGAATGTGGGGGGTCTCAAGGTTCGGTGATGGTCTAAACCGGCAAGTCTTTAGCTACTTGAGTGACAAAGCTTTATAGATTTTATAGAGAACCTAGTAGCGATGGTCTCCAACCTTAGTAGCTTCTTGCTACTAGTAGTAATGCCAGGAGCTACTAGTAGCGATGCCCTTGTTAGTAGTAGCTTCTAGTTCCATGACAAAAACCTCCTTGACAAGGTTTGTTCCTGTGAACACTCGTGTCAACACAGAAACGGCAACACGAGCAGGTTGGAGCTTCGCCCCTTTGGACCAACTCGGCCTCGCAGGAGCTTCGGATCTCCTGTCACTTCCTGGCCGAGCGGGTCTCGGCGGAGGCGTTGACCGGGAAGATCTCAACAGTCACCAAGAGCCTCCAGGCCCTCACGGGCCATTTTCGCGCCGTGACGGGACGTCCTGAGTTCGTTGTCATCCAGACAGGCGACGCTATCGCTCTTAGGTTGGAGTAATATTAGGGTGGAATAGGGTGGAGGCCATTGCGATTAGCTCTGGAGGCCATTGCGATTAGCTCTATTAGGGTGAAGGCCACTGCTATTGGGTTGGAGGTCATCGCTATTGGGTGGAGGCCATTGCTAGTAGGTTGGAGGTCATCGCTATTTGGGTGGAGGCCATTGCTATTAGGTTTGAGGGCATCGCTCTTAGGTTGGAGGCCAACGCTATTAGGTTGGAGGCCATCGCCATCGCTATTAGGTTGGAGGCCATCGCTATTAGGTTGGAGGCCATCGCTATTGGGTTGGAGGCCATTGCTATTAGGCTGGAGGGCATGGCTATTTGGTTGGAGGCCATTGGCCATTGCTATTAGGTTGGAGGCCATCGCTTAGGTTGGAGGCCATTGCTATTAGGTTTGTTGCTGTTAGGTTTATTTGGGGCTTAGGGTTCCGTTCGGCCTGTTCCAGATGTCGTGCGTCTTTTTGATTCATGTTTGCTTTGGAGGCTCTCGCAGAGTCAGAGACCTGTTCTCAAGCTGCTTGGTGTTTTTTAGGCTCCGCGTTCAAAGGCTGACAATGGCAACCTGGTAGAGGCAATGGTAGAGACAAAGTAGACACCACAGGATTGTGCGAACTTTCTTTCATCAGTTTCACTTTTGGCACCGAATTCTTTTCGTATGCGAACTCAGGAGCGCCTTGATGCTCACCTGGCGCGCATCAAGGCAACTGCGTGACGACTTCGAAAGAAGCCAAGTGATGTTCCGACTTTGCAACTAGACATGAGCCGGACATGAGCTCTTTGGTGTTAAAGTGAGCTACGAACGATATAGAACGATATAGTGAGCTACGAGTGTCATTCATGACTCTTGTGACTCAGACGTGATTCTTGTGTCGTACGACGTCTCTTGAGTCTGGATGCCAAGACGTTAACCAGATCGACACGTATGCCGTCAAACATTTGTTTGCTACTAGTATCAAGGGCATCGCTACTAGTAACAAGTGCCTTACTAGTAGTAACAAGGACGCTACTAGGAACAAGTGCATTGCTACTAGTAGCTAGAAGCTACTAGTATCAAGGGCATCGCTGGAAGAAGATTCCCACACGAAGATTTTCACGAGGAACTCTTTCGACGAGAGAACGGCACTCAGGAACTGTCAGGAACCAGAGGTGTTTTCGGAACAGCACCGATGATTTATTAATTGGCTTGCAGCTTGCATATCGTTGTCTTTTGGGTGTTGCATCAAGTGCTGATGAAGCCAGCATTCAAGTGAATAAGATGAACAGTCAGCTGCTGTGCGTGTACTTTTCTCCAGACACCGTTGTGGCATCCTATTCTTCCAAGGCTTTCTTGGGATGCAGATCAGCATCCATGTGATGCCATGGTTTGTGATTGAACAAGGGGAAAATAAAGGATGGAAAAAGGGAGAAGACCTAGCAGAAGACCAAGAAGACATCACTATATAACACAAACATTCCAAATCACCAAGGAAAGCTTTTCGGGGAAGACCTAGGCCTCGGAGACTCGCTTCAGGTCCATCCACTCACCAGACATCGCCAAGATTGCTGGGGCAGTGGGAACCGCCCGTCTGGCAGGTGACAAGGGTGGGATGGGACTGGGAAACAAGAATGGATGTTAGCGCATGTGAGCGCCAACTTGAGGTTTTCACATGTGGCTCCAGCTTGGCTTCAGCTTTCCTGATGACAGAGCTCTACACTTACAATTCTGAAACTTGAGATATTTTTTGGATCCAAACAGTCCCGATGAAGGAACAAGTCTACACTCCACAAGTCTTTTGTGCTCCTGTCATCTCCTGTGCATAGTCTGTGCGCATGCGCGCCTGCGCGCGCATGCGCGGACGGCAGCGCCTGTCAGGAGCTTTTGGCCGAGATGCTCAGAGTTTCACGACGATGTGTTTTGTTCACAGAACAAGACCAGCTCCAAGCTGGCCTACGTACTGTAGTTCAATCGTTCTTTGTCTTGACTCCTGACGTTTTGGTGTTTTGATTTCAATGATGGAGGGGAATTGAAATGGCTTGGAATTCGAAGCATACTTACTGGTTCTTGCCGTTCTTGCCTTGCAAGATGCACTTTAAACGATGCAAATCATGTCAACTACAGCTACTTGCCACATCAGCATCGATGTTGGTTGAGAATTGCGAACAAAAGCATCTGTATGTCCATGCTTTTCCGCTCGAGGTTGGAAGCACCTCCTGGCCGACTTTAAGGCCATCTTGTTGGAGGCGAACGTCGCTGAGAAAGGAACTTCTCAAGAGCGATGTCCTCCAACCTAAGAGCGTCCGATCGCTCCGTTCGTAGCGATGCCAGGAGCGGCCAGGAGCCCCTAGTAGTTGCTCCTAAGAGCAATGGCCTCCAACCTAATTGGGCACAGACGGCGAGCAATTGGAAGTTGCACGAAAGATTTCGGTTTGGAACCAGATCACTGATCGGAGATGCACTGCACTTGACCGGAGGACATCCCATTTGACACTCCTAAGTTACTAGAATCAGAAGCGACGCCAGGAGCCCCTAGTAGCGTCCTTGTTCCTACTCGTCTCGGTTTCGAGAGTCAGCGCTTTGCGGTGCTCTGCGTCGTTTCAGCACCTCATCGAGTTCCGCGAAGAAGAGTTCTACAACATGAGCTGCTGCCTTAGGCCTTGGCTCAGTGGGCCCGACATGTTAGTTCACTTTTTTAAAATATGACTTGGCACGGAACACGGAGAGCCACAAGCAAATGGCAAAAAACTTGGCACGGGCTCTCGAGTTGCATAGTTCGAAGTTTTAGTGACCTGTCAGGGTTCTATTCGTGGCTTGTTGATGGCCCCAACGTTCCCTACCCACTTTGTACATGGCGTCTTTGTTTGGTGTTTGTGCGGAGAAGCATCGCTGTAGTTAAGTTTCCGAAAAAGTCTAGGAACCAAATGAATAGCGCAAGCGCTTCTTCAAGGAAGCTTCCCCCCGCCTTCTTTAGGGCGGCGGGGGGATCTTCCTTGAAGAAGCGTCTTCGCTCTCCTGCGTTGAAGAACGGTAGTAGCTTACTTGTGGGTACTAGCTACTAGCCACCTAGCTAACCTACCTCTCTGGTCCCCACCTAGCTAACCCCCCTGGTCCCTAAAGGTTGGATCTTTCCAACGGTCTACCTGACTGAGATCGAGCTCGGGAACTCAGCCCCGAAGCGTTTTCGCGTGACGGAGTCGGCTGAAAGGCTCGTCACTCCTTCTTCGCCTTGTGTGAAAGGCTCGTTGGTTCTTGTGCTCAAAAGAAAGGCCGGAGCGTTTTGGATGCCAACACGGCCGGTGCAAGTTTTCTTTTTTCTAGACCTATTGGGCCGAGCCTCTGTGAGGCACTAGGTGGGCAGAAAGAAAGAAAGAAAGAAAGAAAGAAAGAAAGACACACCTATTGGGATTGCAACAAGGCTTAAAGCAAGGGAGGCACACTGCGCGGGTTTGGACTCTCAGCAAAGCGGCCACCAATGTCCCGTCACTGAGTCTATCATAGGTGATTCATAGATTTCCATGGTGAGGCTGCGTCAGGTGCTGGCTAGAGCAGCAGAGATCCAGGCGAGTGCTACAAGTTGAGCCTTCAACATGGCAGTCCAGTTCTTTTTGAACTTGGGTTGAGTGCTTGCTATTTTCTTTGCAGGCTCCAAACTGCAGTCTCCATGTCCCCCCAAACATGGATGCTAACGTTGAGCTCTTCCTGAGCCTCACCTCAAGGTCTGCCTGAGCAACCAACAATTCGTTCTGAGTACTGGACGCGGAGGGCTGGCAAGTGTCCGGAAAATAGGGGCTTCCGCTTTCTAAAGGTGCTTCAGCCCCTGGGCTGCTGACGAAGATACGCTTGATTTATGAGGCTTACGCCTGACAGCCGGGCGCCGGCCTATTTGGGTTTGGGTATGTGCAGGGCTGGGTCCTGTCTCTCTCTCTCTCTCTGTCTCTCTCCCTCTCTCTCTCTCTCTCGCTCTCTTTGAGACTTGGTGGGGCCTATATTGAGCAAAGTTAAGCTATCTGGTGCGCATCTTGGCCCTAGGTTGGGCCAAGTTGAGCCCATGTGGTCTATGTTGGGCACATCTTGGGCCCAGGTTGAGCCTATGTTACTAGGTCGGCCTATGTTGGGCCTATGTTGGCGTATGTTGGCCCCATGTTGGCCTATGTTGGCCCTATGTTGAGCCATCTTGGAGGCTATGTTGGGCATATGTTGGCTGTTGGCTATCTTGGGCCTATGTTGGGGATATGTTAGCCAACTTATGTGCCCAACACCCACGAAATGTCGATTAAGCCTGTCCGCGCTGCACGCACAACCGACACCACGGGCACCCTGTTAGGCGAAAGTCGTGGACGCCGAAGGCCACGAAACACGGTAAAAAACGATGTTTTTGAACATGTTTCGAACATCCTGCGCAAGATACATATAAATCTGTCGACCGGATTCGGGCGGGAGTCGACACGGGGTCGACCGGGGGTATTCCCGCGGTCGACCAGAAGGGTCGGCGGCAGGGGGCGCGAGCGTATATAACCTTCGGTTACCAACCGAAGGCCTCCGGCAAGGGAACGTGCGCGTGGCCGGCGCCCGGATTTAAGAAACTGGCGCCCTTGTGCTCAGTGCTCTGTGCCACCTCAATTGACCGCATGTAGATTGTTAGTGAAGAACCCCAATAGCCATCCTGCCAAGAAGTCTAGACAACGTTTTTGCAGATCATGGGCTTCTGTTTCTTGAACCTTGACGTCCTCATCCCATCGTAGCAACGTGTAGTGATGTCGCTGGAATGTTTCGCCACACCATGGCAGGTGGGGCTGCGTCCAAGCAGCCTCCATTGCTTGGACGGGATGCGACGCATGGCGGACTTTGTCGTGGAACAGGCATCGGAGCACCCGCATGGCACGGGTTGTAAAGCCTGGAGCCCTAGGTTGACCACCTCGGTCAACCAAGGTTTCCTGGGTTTTGACCCTGACAGCCAAATACATCAAACATATCGAGACCTGATGTATCCGATGTATCGCACAGAGGTCCGCAAAGTATTTTGAGCCGACCGACGACCATTGCCGTGGTATATGGCCTTCAACCTAAGAGTGATGGCCTCCAACCTGGGAGCAATGTAGTTAAAAAGGAGGCGTCCAAACTTTTCAGGACATCACACTTTGATGTAATGTGACCTAGATCTACCTCCATTCCCACGCCGACCCGGTGGTCTGTGCGAGGTGCCACGCTTCCATGCTTCGTTGAGCGAATTCCTACAGCTCTACTGTGAGAGGCTTCGTGCATGAAGTAGGTCTTGCTCGTCAAGCGGGTCTCTTAAAATATCTTAAAATAGGGTGTGTCCCTCTTGCCAGTGGATGAATGTACAAACATCTACTTTCACTAGAGACGAACCCATCTGAACCCAAGACCCGAGAAGGAGACATGCACGGCAACCCCAATCTTGGCAGGTTCCAGGTTTATTCTTGTAGTGGTTGATGGATTCTTGGCTAGGTTTTAGATTCTTGGTACATGTAGAAGTCCCTGTTTGTGGAACTCTGTGAGTGCCAGTGCTCAGGATGACAACTCCTTGATACCACAAATGCTGGATGTCCACAAAACAAACACATGAATCTGCCTGAACCACACAGTATGCAGGCATTGTTAGACACCAATCTAGAATCCGACGCCCAAGGCGTCCATAGCACTTCGAGGCAGCTGATAAATTGATGTGTGGTAGGCAGAGGGGTTTCTCCGACAACCTTGGTTCGCACAGGTGAATGAGTCCTACGTCCTTTTAAGAGCATGCAGCATGTCCAAAACTTCCTTACATTGCACATCGCCCATTTTGAGCTGCTATGTGTCCCAGCACCCTCGAAGTTTTGAATCCCAGCCACAAAAGTGGTTCGGTGTTAATGTGTACAATTGAACAATTGACCCTAAACTCCAACGAGTGCAGTTTGCCGTGGTGGAAATGTGGGCTTTCGCAATGTGTGGATTTGTCATTCAGTCTCTAACAAATTGACCTCAGAAGCAAGGATATTTTGCCGCGTTTAATTTGTTGTTGAGGACCTGCGCAGCATGACTACATTGTACTGAACAGGAAACAGGCTCTTGAAGATATGGCATCAGTCATATGCTTCAGAGAGCAGGCACACGTCCTATGAATCAAGACCCACCACCTGATAGAGGGGAATGCATCGGTAGAAGCCTCCCTTTAAAGAGGGTAGCTACAATTCAGTGCAACGAAAGTGAGTAGATGCATAGTACATGAGGCTTCATCAAATCTCCATGGCAAGGTACTTTGTCAGCCTTGCTTGGGCATTTCGGTACTAGTAGCCAGAAGCTAGTAGGTTGGAGGCCATCGCTACTAGGGTGGAGGCCATTACGCTACTAGTAGCTAGAAGCTAGTAGGCATCCTGTTATATTCAGCATTGCTTGCGCATTTCGCAGCCAACATCTTTACAACGATAGACACACTGCCGTTGAGATTCTATCACATCCAATAACCATTCCGATTCATCTTTGCAACTTCTCGCTGGCAGCATTGTTCATACTTCAGTGTCCACCTTGCTCCTGAAGATTTTCTTCAAAAGTGAGACTCCAGAATATCGCTCAAATGTACCCTCCCCCCAGAGAGGTGTTGCTCAAAAAAATCTCAGCCCATGCGCGATGGGCAAAAGCAAAAAGAAGAAATATGTGGGTTCCTGTGGCATCTACGTCTTCTTCCATGACGGACACTTTGGCATGAAAGGGGCTTTCGCTGGTGGCTTCAAACCCTGAGGTTGTGCAACCACAAGGGTGGAGTGTAAAAGTGGACACTTTATTTGCAGGTGTTGATGTTCAAAAGTGTTCAAATCATGTGTAGGAACGATGTTTGCAAGTCTTCGCACTGATTGGGAAAGAATCCTGGCCGTGCTTTTTTTGGTCATGTCGGATTTGGTCGGAGTGTGCGACGTGACATCCATCCTGTTTGGGTTAGCTCTCAATGTCTGAAAACGAACACCTCCGGGAACTGGTTGTTCAAACATACACTTCAAACTGGCAGTATTTCTACTTTTTGAAGATGCCTCCATGGCAAGGAACATCATCTAAAACAAGCTCTTTGGACTTTGGATGCTTCCCCTGAATTCTGTGGGCTTTCGCCTCCAGCCTTTCAACCTGGCCCAGGAGAGGAATACAGTCTGTTGGTTCATCGAAGAAGCAAGCAGGCGGGGCCAGCCTGCGACCAGCCAATTAACCTACTACAGTGCGTTGATTTGGCAACATCAAGAAAAACGCACAAGCAAAGCTACATGAAACCACTTCCACCGGCGACTGCCTTGACCTCTGACCCGATCAGGTTTCAGAATCGTACACCATCGCTGCACCAGGAGGAATTGTGCAAGAGCTCAGAGGGTAGAAAGCAACCTTGTTTTTAACAACTGGAGCATTGGAACCAACAGGGGTTTTGTCCATTCATCAATATTGCAGACGGGTACTGTTGGTCCCCTTTGATGCCGAAACTGTAGCGCAGCATTGGGGTTCTGCATTGGTGCAATTTTGGGTCTTATGTATTCATAGGTACCTCCTGTATGGTGCACCTCCGGCACGAAAAAGTGCACGAGCACAGATAGTTTCATGTCTTCCATAAACGTGGGCTCGAAGTAGTTGGGTGAAATGCACTCATGGACTGGGAGCCAGTGCGAGAAAAGCTAGTGGCTGCAGCGCTTCGACCTTCTATTTATTTCAAAAGGAACACACCATGACCCAAACACTTGAAATAGATGGACGTTGGCAACTCTGAGAAACCTTTTATGTTTTTTAATGAACAAAGGGTTCTCCTAAGATTTGGTCGATTCTCGGATTTTTGTGCCATTTGGGGTCCTGTTCTGAGGTAAAAGACTTGAGCATTGGCCACCCATATGTAGTGATCGATGGCCTCTTGGGTGGCTGGGCCAAAGCTTTGGCGGAAGAGGCCGATTCTTTGGAGTTTGCTTCCAAACTATTGCCACTCAGCAAAGTTGGCCAACGGTCCCGGGGGGGGTCTGAGATGCAACTTGAACCGTGGCATCTTCCGAAGAGCAGCTTTGATTTGGCCATGTTTGACTCTAAATCCAAGGCCACACACCTTCCAATTCTTTGCTGGCGGCCAACAGCACTTCTTCAAACACCCTGGACGGCGATATCTGGACCTCGATGCGGCACGTGTTTCGGACTTGATATGGTGGTGTTCTGATTTGTCGGTCAGGCTAATGTCATCAGGGCGTGATTGAGTGATTGCATTGATCACCTTCTTGGAATGTGTTTGCCAAGCACTTTTGCTGCTGAAATTCATTGTTTTGACATGTGAATTTGACTGATTTGAACTAGTTTAAGACTGGAAGGTTTGCATTCTTCCTTTTTTTGCGCCTAGGCCAAGAGGGCCAACCCACGTCTCTGACGTCTCACGCGCCACGTCTCATGCGCTTTGCAGTGGACATGCTGCCAGACTTGGTGGCGTCACTGCGTGCTGCCGTGCCGAAGCTGGGCTTGGCGGAGACCGCACCACATGTGAAGTTGCAGTTGACCACCGGCGAGGTGGGGAAGGTTGGAGAAACCGTGGAAGACCGGAGTTTCTGGTGCGAGAAAGCACAAGCACTCCGGGACACAACACACGATGGCAAAAGATTCGATGCTTGATGTTAGACAATGTTCGTTCATGTTGTGGACGGTTTCAGCGTTTTGCTGCAGGTGGGCTGCACGCCTTGTCATTATGACACCTCTTACAACGATCCGACATCGTTGCAGCTCTCAATCTTAATCTACCTCAGCGGCTCAGAAGCAGCTTCTGCAGGGTTCCGCATGTTTGGGGGTGGATGAACAAGTACAAAGTAAATCATGAAAGATTGAGAAAAGACTCTTTTCCCTGCAAACTGCGACAAGAACGGCTTATGGACTACACGTCCACTTGTACGGTGGACAAGTTTTGTGGTTTGCGAGCCTCCCGAATTGACCCGGCTCCTGACCTCTTAGCTCATGGAAACGACATCAAAGGAACAGATTGGTCTGCGTCTCTTGGTCAATCCTGCTTAGGAGTTCCAAGCATCCTTGAGACAGAGGGTAGAGAGCGCAGGTGGTCTGTCTGGAAGAGATTTCGTTGCAAAAGCTTGCGGTCTGTAGAGGAATGGCCATTTGTGATGACAGCATGGAAGCACCGCAGGTGAGGGCTGGTGCCCAGAGTGGGGTGGTGAGCTCCAACTGGTTCCTTTCCTTGAGCCGCCGGTGCTTTTGGATCTTTGGCACAACTTTCTGCAGATGAGTCAATGAACCAGCAGTTTGTTGAGCCGGGGAAAGGGGTGGATGTTCTTTCTGTTTTCTAATCTGGATTTCATCGATCAAGAAAACGACAACACCTGGAAGTACCAACATTTCAAGGAGATATTTGTCAGACCCAAAAGCCAAATTGGAGTTGGTGGGATGACAAGTCTGATGCTCGCCTCATGACTGCCCACTGCCCCTTCTGCCCCTGATCGGTTGAAACCAACCCACCCGAAAGCAAGACTGTTCCCGTTCCCCCTAAAGGGAGTTCTTGCTTCGACCTGCAAGAGTTCTTGTAATTGTTGAGGTCCAAAGCTACTTCAGGCAACGAATCAGCCATGAATCCGCAAAGAGCCGGCCGAGCTACTCGTTGTAGCCCAGATTAGATCCAGATATGGCTGTTGGTCAAAACCCGGAGCCCCTAGCGAGGGTAGGTTGACCTGCGTCAACAGATGATGGGCAACGGTGCCCCCCCCTGAGGCGCCCTCGTTCGACCGCTGTGTGCTGTTCTTGGCAGATCGCAGGCTGCACCGCTCCTTACCCCCTCGTGGTCCCGGGGTGCAAAAGCATCGGTGGCTCTTGACCGCATGGCTGGATGGCACGAGGGTGGATGCCCCTTTGCCACTATGGTTGTCTGCAGGAACACATGTTTTGTATTGTTTTGTTGTGTTAGTTTTTGTTTAAAGATGTTTAATGGCCTTTACGTTAAATCTGGTCCCTTTGCAGGTGCCTTTCAACATGCTGGGTTGATGGGGGGATACTGGAATCACCTCCTAAGCTAAAGGCGCCCAAGACAATGATGTGAAGCTACTGGGTTTCGCTGTAGTAAGAATTTGACGCATGCCGGTGGATGCCAAGAGATTCAGAACACTATGTTCTCAGATAGATTCAGAGCGTGTTCCTACCATGCAGGTGCCCCAGGGGCAGGGTGCCCAGCCCCTTCTTTTCGTGACGCTTGGGCTGGCGTCTGATTTTCTCACCACGTCACCATATTTGATCTAGGAGCAAGAAGCTACTAGGGGCTCCTGGCCTTAGGAGCAAGGGCGCTACTAGGGGACTCACCCGGCCACGCCAAGACGGTTTTAGGTGGAACTCCTCCCAGTTGGCCCCATCACTGCAGCGGCTGCTGGCCCCGGCGCTGCACCGAGAGCTGTACCTGGAGGCCTTGCGACAGAGCTTGCCGCCCTATGCGCTCGCGCGGGAGGCCCTGCTGAGGGAACAGCGTCAGCAGATTGAAGAGCTGGAGAAGGATGAGACACTGATGGGATTCTTGGAATGTTTTTAACATGAAGCATGCTGAATATCATGTGGTCTGGCATTTCAGGCAACAAGAAAGCTATTCACTATTTCACTGGTACATGTTCAGGAATGTGCAGCCAGCTGTGAATTCTAGCGCTTGTTAGAAGGAGAATCCAGTTCTTCTTTGAAGATTGCCTAGCCTTGCCATGAAGTTGTTGTTCTTTTTTTCTCCGGGAAGTGTCAAAAGGCTTAGCATTGACATGGGTTCATGTTGATTGATGTTGCTCTGACAAATGTCCGGCTGCCTTGGTTTGTGCTATTGGTGCTCTAGAAGTGTTACGTATGTCTACAAATTCAAGCTCAAAGCAGGTACATTGATTCATAGCTGGCGCTTGTTTTTCAATGTAAATCAACACACATTAACTATATAATGATTATGGGCATATGGTCAACAAATACGTCACTAAAGGAGGATTGAACAAATCTGAGGACTGCTGGAAGGCTTGCGAGAGTTGAGAGCGCAAGCGCAGGCCGAGGACTAGCTAGCTCACTGTAGGGCAGACTTGTCATGGCTACTCTAATTTTTCAAGGACGGCACGGTTCCGGGTACAGCTAGAATGGTTGGCTTTCAAGCATAGCGCGGGTTTGAAGTGTCTGCGACGGTACGCTGGCTGGGTACGCTGCATGGTACGCTGCCAGCTGCGAGGATGCCGACGACGCTTCAAAGAGGCGAAGAACAGCCACCGAAGCAGTGCGAAGCAGTGCGAAGTTGAGGCATGGCCCTTCCTCAGGGGCTCCGAATCGAAGCTCTGCATCGAAGTGTTGGTGCAAATTGGAGTTTCAAACAGCAAAAGGCCTTGATGAGGCAACCTGGTAGTATTGTGTGAAGCAGAGTCAACGCTGACATTTTGGGAAGTGGAGGACATGACCACCAGCACGCTCTTGTGACGGGTGGGTGCTTCTCGTGTTCTCCATGCGCGAAACCCAGAGCCTTTCGCTGCGTCGAACATGTTGGGCTTGGAAGCTCGGGCCACAGATGCACACAACGCGGCACGGTGGCAAACTGCGCCGCAGCTTCTAATCATTCCACGTCTTGATAAGCTCGAGCGTGAAAAAGGAGGACTCGGAACGCTCGGAGGGTTCAGGACATGAAGCCTTGCCAAGTGTAGCAAATCAGTGCAAACCACAATTCCTATTGCCTACCTTACATATCCTTACATGACCTGGATCAAAGTCAGTGCAGTTTGAACCAAAACCAAATTCGCTCGTCTTTTCCGACTGCAGCGGGTCGTCGGACACCGGTCCCAGGTCGAACGGGTGCTTTGTGGCGACGGCGACGACCTGAAGCTGGGCGCCCGCCGCACCGCCCTGCGGGAGCTCCGCGAGGAGCGGGAGGCGGTGTAGGCGGGAGGCGGTGAAGCAGGCGGCGTTCGGTGAATCGGTGAATCGGAGCATCGACATGAGCATAGGCTTAGTAGGTGAAATGAGCATCAGCCTCATTTTGTGTTTGAAGTCTTTTGAAGTGCGGAACACGTGTGGAACAGCGTGTGGAACAGTGTGGAACACATGTGGCGCTTGACAAGAATCGGAACTTGACACCCTTTGACCAGGTCTCATACCCGGTGATTCTTGCGCTTCATTCCAAAACATGCATTCTTTCACAGTCATGGTATGGTAGGTGCATGGCAAACTGTCCAGCTTGCTAGGCTAAATGGGTGTTGAGACCAGCAGAAGCAAGGTGCCGAAGTTAAGCTGCATCACGCCACGTCGAGGTAGTAACAAGTGCCACGCTAGTAGTAACAAGTGCCTTACTAGTAGTAACTAAGAAGCTAGTAGAAACAAGTGCATCGCTACTTGTTTCTAATAGCTTCTTGTTACTACTAGTAAGGCACTTGTTACTACTAGCGTGGCACTTGTTTCTACTAGCTTCTTGTTACTACTAGTAAGGCACTTGTTCCTACTAGCGTGGCACTTGTTTCTACTAGCTTCTTGTTACTACTAGTAAGGCACTTGTTCCTACTAGCGTGGCACTTGTTTCTACTAGCGATGCCCTTTGTTTCTAGGAGAGTGGCATTTGCCTTCCCGACACCGTGGATCTCATGGAGCTCCGTGTGGCCCCAGGCCTCGCCGGAGGGGCGACGGGAAGCGAAGCAAGTGGCTGGTGAATGGCGTTTTGAGCCACAGCTGATCTAGGACATGTGAACAAGTGTGTCTTTGTTTGACAACAAATAGAAGGACCAATAAAGGAGGTGTGTTGCGCACAACTTTGCCAAAGGCGGTTACTAGGGATGGCCTGGGATGGTCCCAGCGCTTGATTGAGGAGCCTACTGGGGAGAGAACACGCATTTCAACTTCGCCTTTGTCTTTTCGGCGCGTCCTGAAGTCACTGGGCCTGAACCGCTCCTTGGTGAAAGCTGGGCCTGGCTTTTCTCGACCCAAAAAAACCTGAAGGGGGTCAGTCAGTAGGTCAGTCGGTTGGAAAACAACGAGTTCACCCAAACGCATCGCATTTTCGTGGACTTCCAGCTGAGGGACTCCGTCCACGAGCTGGTCCACGGTGGAATGAGGACCGGAAGAAGAGTTCTTCGTTTCAAGGGCGCGGACTGAACATTGGATCAGAGCTGTTTAGGAAGTTCAGCCTCTCTCATGTTACTCATGTTGGACCCTTTGCATCCCTTTGCATGTTCTATATAGATATGCAATGGTTTTCTTGCGCCCGATTGCATCCAATTCAGTGTCGCGCATCGCTTCGGCTTGATCGCTGGACCGGACTTGAGAAGTCGTGAAGCCAAGTCCGCCAGGATTGGAGTGCCTGCTGGCGATGGGTGCCCGATCTCAAATGGTCAAACTTGGGGGTCTGGGGAGACGGACAATGCATGCGATATCTGTTTGATCTCTTAAATAAGCGCCGTTTTGGGGGTATGGTTTTGGCCGTTCGGAAGTTCCGACTGCGCCAATGCGTTGGAGAAAAGCGACTGTCCAATGAAGGTGTTATTGCTGGTAGTGATGGTGGTGGGTAGTTGAGTCACGTTGAGTCCGCAACCTAAAGTGAGCACAAAGCTAGCAGCTACTGCTTTAGCAAGGGGTGGTATTGTGAGAACACGTGAGACTGCAAACCAGGGTTTGTCCTTGCTGCTACCGTGTCAAGCGATCCTCGCACTTGTGCAAGCTTTTGGGATGGACTCTTCTTTTCTTCCGAGCTGTGGATAAAACTGAAACTTCTGAAGTTTGAAGCAGAAAAAGCTGGCGTCTTGGCAGATGCTCCAAGCAGCCTCTCCCACGTAAACTGGTCTAAAACCGAGGTACCATGCCTGGGTTCACCTGTCTGAGCTGTTGGCTCATAAGGACAAGCAATCCTGCAGCATCCTGCGGCACTGAGTGATATCCAAAGACAGAGCGCATCAACCAGACCCTGCAGCTTTTGTCCTTTCACAAAGGAAGACGGACCCTATCCGGTTGCAACTCAGCTCCGCAGGAATTGATGGCAGCTTGCCGCGATCCCATCATGCATTTCTTGCAGGAATATGGCCAGTGCGACTCCTAAAGCGGGCAGACTTTGTTGGGAGAACGCCCGTATGAGGGGGAGTTTTTGAGCAAAGGATGGGGGCTTTCAACAGTAGAGGCCAGGCTTTTTACAACATCCTGGAAAGGAGGATGTTTAGAGAAAGCAGATGACGTTTTGATCATATTTTAACAAGTTTACACAGATTGTAAGCTGCTTGTGCAAGGATTTGTTGATTATGCTAGGTGGAGGGTATGGACAAAAACCAAAAGAACAACAGAACAAAGAACAAACTATATAAGCCAAACCAAGCCAAACAATCACAGCAAAGTGCTCCCAAAAAACACAAAATGACAGTTTCATGCTGCGGCTGGGTTTTGCCGCAAACATGTTTTCTCAATTGTCACAGCCTGTCACTGGAAAGCTGGAGCAAAGGCAGCTCATACAGTTTGGCCAGCCAAGTTTGGACGCTGCCATCACAGGGCCACTTGTCCCATTTTTCTGGTGGATAAATTGAAAGCACTTGGTGTGGAAATTTGGTTCCCCAGGTATGAGACCCTCCCTCTTGAAGTAGCAACCTCACACACAGCACGCCTGCGTGCTGAGGTCGCCAGTCCCAAAGATGGACGTGAGGTGGGGTGCCTCGACGAAAAATGGGTCAAATCACACCAAGTGTCAATTTTGTTTGTGTATTCCTTCAGTGACGGTGCTTGACTGACAAACTTGACGGAGTAGAACACCACAGAGAGCACCGTACATCTTTCGGACGCATTGCAACAACAGCTTGGCCCTTTGCCCAGCTTAGCCCTTTTCCGGATCTTAGCTCTTTCTAATCGGAGTGCCATCCGCCGCGAGGCCCACGGTCACGGTGCGTCCCAGCTCGAAGTTCAACCGTGCAAGGCTGTTTTGAGCGAACGGTTAGAGCTTCGGCTCGTCAACATGTGGCAAACACCGCTGGGTGTTTTCGGAGGTTCTTGTTTTTTTGGAGCTGTGACGTTTCGTAGATCAGTGGTCTCATAGTTTTTGGACGGTTCCTGATATCCTCAAACGCGCATCCGAAACTACAGAAGTTCTCTCCAAACAGTAAGGAGACCTTTTGCTACCAAAGGAAACATCGTCCTTGGAACTACTTTCACGGTTGTCTCCAACCAATGCTTTGCAGGACTGAGGGCCTCCGGTATCCTGCCTTCCCTCCGCCGAAGCCATCCAGGCGAAACAGCACTTCTCCCGAACAACCGGTCGAGAGACCTCCGGGGAGTCTTTCGGGAGCCCTTGTGTTGGCCTAAATAAACCTAAAAGCAACAAATTAATCTAATAGCAATGGCCTCCAACCTAGTAGCAATGGCCTCCAACCTAAG